TGGTTAACACTTATATCCGATTAAACATAGTTATCGATGTTACCGACTCCCTATTGTATGCATGGAGCCGAAGACGTCGATAACGATGTTTAACCGCGGATTAGTGTTAACCAGACATTGAGTAACCGGCCCTTATTCTCTAATAGATTAGGTGGAAAATGCAATATTTTCACATTTAGAAAAACTAAAACACGTTTTTCGCTGTAAAGTGAACTGGATTTGGCAGTTTCAACTCGTTCTCCTTTTCTCTCTATTCTTTGTTTACTTGTGGTACACAAATGTCAACGGGAAACACGGCGCAATCTTATATTCTATTATCTAATGAAAATTGAAAAAGGAAAATTGAATGTGTAACGTCCCGGTTATTCATACACTACACAAAGCTTTATTTTGTGAGACCTGATTTTTTTTGTTTTGAAGCATATTAGCTGCGAAAATCCTTTTTGACTTGAGCGGCGGCCCAAAATGGTAGCTTTACTATAACTTTATCCGTATTTTCCATATCCATCCCTGAAATTCGAAATTATTTCAAATAATAAATTTTTGTTTGTTTATTTTCATTGTGCGGTGGNTATTAGCTGCGAAAATCCTTTTTGACTTGAGCGGCGGCCCAAAATGGTAGCTTTACTATAACTTTATCCGTATTTTCCAAATCCATCCCTGAAATTCGAAATTATTTCAAATAATAAATTTTTGTTTGTTTATTTTCATTGTGCGGTGGCTCTTTTATTTTGAGAAGTATAATAAGATTTCATATTGCAGGTTAAAGTTAAGTGCTCAGAACTACGCACGAAAGACAAGAAGGAGCTGACCAAACAGCTCGAAGAACTTAAAAATGAGCTACTGAATTTACGTGTGGCCAAAGTAACCGGAGGGGCTCCTTCGAAGCTGTCAAAAATGTGAGTATTAATTTATTGCAACATCGAGATATCTTTGATACGGTGTTCGCATGAGGCGATTAATTGACTGAAAAGTTGGCTGCACCCCAACTTCATTGGAAGCGATTAGTTGAAAGGCCATTCACGCCAGGCGATTGTTGCTTTCAACTAAAAGTTTCCTGTTAAATCGCCTCATTCGAACACCGTATAAATACACATGCCTACCCAATAAACATTGGGCTTGGTTAGCAATTCGAAAATGACTGGAAAACCAATCTTTTTTTCGAGTCTTGCCTTCGATAACGAATGTGCAATAGGTTAGTATTCGATTCGAGAACTAAGCCGTTCTCCAGCAAAACGGCACCCGTTATCCTATGTATTTTCCCTTTGTTATGAATTCGAAATCCAGCCCCATGATACAAAAAAGAAGGTAGTTTCATGATACAAAAAAGAAGGTAGTTCCATTGTCACTTTTTCGTCGCCATATTAACAACCTGACAATTAATCAGATTGTGACATGTCGTGCTAGCATATCCAATATCTAAAATCCTTCAAATTTTATTATTAATTTTTTGTTTATTTAAAGCATTTTGTTCTTATAATCGAAATTTGAACAAGCAAACGGTCTTTTGTTGGGTATGGTTCGGTTATTTGTCCAATGATTTTGGGTTATTGTGTCCACACGCATATCCCAAATAAAAAAATGTGAACATACGCCTGCGATCAAAGGATTAAAGTTTGATTTAAAATAAAGATTTAAAATTTTCGAACACTAAATTGTTAATAAATTCTGTGTGAAATATGCACTTTTTTGTAAAAAATACCGTGTAGCCGGAGTTTGGCAGATTAGGGTTATTTTTTCTAAGCGCGGCCGAAGGCCTCCAACGCGGAGAGGTATTCTGCGCGTAAGTCCTTTGGTTGCCGTAACCCGAGCTTACATTTTCTGGCAAAATGCTAAGTTTACCACATTTTCAAATGGGTGCCGAGCGGTCAGAGAGGTGAAGGGTGACTTGCC